AAATGCTGCATTACCTTAAGGACCCTAATAAACTATGGGAATAAAGACTCTTCAGCCCAGCCCAAAGGTCCAGCCAGTATGGTCTGTTCCTTATTATGGGCAATGCAGGATCTATATCATCAACCGTAGGATCCTTATATGGGTAGTTTTCCAAATTAGGGTCCCTTTTTTGGTCCCAAATATAGTACGGCACCCTTATAAAAAGGACCCCAAAAGGGACCCTAATTTAGAGAACTACCCATATTCCAAGGGCTTAGAACAGCACCCGGCCAGGCCGACGGACATTTCGTGCCGGAGATCAGGCCTTCTACTGGAGCCCCTCGGGCCCAGAATTCGTGTATTCAGATTTTTGCAGGATTTAGGCTTTAGGAATTCGGATTTATAGGGTTCAACAGGTTTCTGGTCTGAGGGTTTAGGAATTCGGACTTATGGGGTTTTACAGGATTCAGATTTTAGGGTTTAGGAATTCGGATTTATAGGGTTTTGCAGGATTCAGGTTTTAGGGTTTAGGAATTCGGACTTATAGGGTTTTACAGGATTCGGATTTTAGGATTTAGGAATTCGGATTTATGGGGTTTTGCAGGATTCAGGTTTCAGGGTTTAGGGATTTAAATTTATAGGGTTTTACAGGATTCAGATTTTAGGGTTTAGGATGGGGTTTAGAGGTCATGGTTTAGCTTTGTCAGGGTTCGGACTTCCGAGGGCTCAGGGCCTTGTTTTCAGGTTCTGCAAGCCACGCGGGACCTTGTCGCGGACAGGGAGATGGGATTCCTAAACACAAACCTCAGTAGCTGAGTGAGTCCACTTTACACTTTTTGGGATAAGATGATCCTTTATAGAACTGACAGTGTACACTTTTTTGGGGGGCTTATGATCTCAGCAACTAAGAAAACCCTCAACCCATACAGGGAGCAAGGAACCCGAGACCTCTCCCTTCAGGTGCCACGCATCGATGTTGGCTCAAGACCTGCGTCCTCTCCGTCAACAGTGATGGCCGGGAGCCGAAGTTTTGGCACAGGTGTTCGGATATTTGAGAACCCAGTGGATTCAACAACATACCCAACGAAGGAAGATGCCCTAAATTCCAGAACGATCCGAGTAAGGGTGTTATCCTTAGCTAGGGGCCCATCAAAGGGTTCGGAGGGAGGGAGAAGGAGGGAGCGACGGGGGAGGCTCTGGAACTCGCGTCGGGGAGAAGAATCAGACTAGTTACGCCATGCCTGCCATTCCAAGCCCTGTATGTCTTCAAGGCCAAAGAATCGTGGCCCCCTAGACCCTGCTTCGAGTGCGAGTTCTAAATAACAAGTCCTAGTTCTCTGCTGAAGCATGTGCCCTTGTAACCTGACTCAGAACCTTCGTTGCCTTAGGCCTTAGGCCTCCAGTTACTTAAATAATGCGCTATTGGGGTATGCAATGTATGGTTAGAAGCCGATTGATTTAGTGGGAGCCCTATAGAGTTAGACACAAAAGGGCTTCCAGTCGCGAACTGGAACAACCCTGGGTTCGAATGCACCGGGCTCGGCCTATAACTGCTGATATGCTGTGAGTCCCAAAGCCCAAAGAGCGGAAGAGTGCCAGCTTTCCAAGCTCTACACACTCCTTGATGGCAAGAAGTCACTCCTAGACCCTAAACCCTGAACCCTACAGTAAGCCCTACTTAAACCCTAAACTCTAAGCCCTGCAATGCGGGCACGTCCTTGCTAAGTAGGAGGCAAAAAAACCTACACACTTTCGGAGGCGATAAGTCAGAGACCTACAACCTGGACTGCAAGTCCAAGGTTCAGCTGGAGCCTGAGCAGTGGAAGAGCATCCTTTCTTGGCGTCGTCTAGGGCTTCACTTACGAAAGCATTAGGGCACTGGGGTTTAGGGTGTAATGGGCTAGGTGGGTACAGAATTGAGATGTGGTTGGTAACCTCATATTTAGGTAGCTGGAGCCCTGGGGATCAGTTGTCGTCAAAAATGTTCAGCGTTGGTATTTCGCTAGCAGCTTGTTAATGTTCCAGCCTTGTGGATTCCATATAGAGTGCCTTATGAAGGTATGGGTTTAAATGGAGTTTAAGCTTTAGGGTTACGCTGAAACCAGAGCAAAAACCACCTAAACCCTAAGCCCTAAACCCTAAACCCTAAACCCTAAACCCTGAAGCCCTAAAACCCTAAACCCTAAACCCTAGCGAGGTCCTGGCAGATGCGCACGGTGGACGAGCCCCGCGATGGCCCGCCCGACTGTTCGGAGGGCGCCGGAGGCCGGCTTTTGCGAAAGGGTCCTTCTTGGGGGCACTTAGAAAATAGTTTTTAATCTTTGGCTACTATAAACCCTAAGAAGCAGCTAAGATTATAATTTTTGCTAGGGGTCTAAGTTCAGTATAGCCTTTTGAAGGGGCCAAGATGTTCGAGGATTCAGGGCACCTCAACTTTAAACCCCTAAGCCATAAACCCCTAAACACATTTTACCACTAAACCTTAAACCCTAAACCCCTAAACCCTAAACTCTAACCCAAACCCTAAACCCTGAACCCCAAGTTTAATCCCGGAACCCCGAGACCCCGAACAGGCGGCTTTGCCGTGGGCATGCCAGTCCAGTGCTTCAACCAGCAGAAACGCGTTTGGGAGGACGGCATTGCTCCTCGGCATTTGCCCTACATGTATGTATACATATTATACATATGTATATATATATATATACACTACATATCTGTATATATATATATATATAAATACATCTCTCTCTGTATGTGTATATATATATATACTTATTTCTTTATTTATCTTTATGTATTTATGTATATTTATGCATAATGCACACGCACGCACTTGCGCACGGACACACAGACAGAGGGGAAACTAAGCCAGCCTCATGCGCCACAAACGTAATCACAAGCTGTTGCTTCTGCAAGTTCCTATCACCATCTCTAAACACACCAGCATCCAAAACCCTTGAAGCCTGAAGCCTATTGCTTGCTGTTCCCTAAGTCCTATAAACCCGGAACCCTAAACGTTATGCCTTGTTCCTACTACTTCTGTTTGCTGGTCGTGCCGGCTCGGAAGTGCTCAGCCAACTCAGGTCGTCCGAAGATACCAGCTGCTCGGCATATATTGTGTGTGTACTGGCGCCGGTCACGGTGGTAATGACATGGCGATGGTGATGATGATGATGATGATGATGATACTGTCCGGATTGATCCTTGTGAGGTCAAGGCTACATTAATCCCAGTGCTCCTGTCACCAGTACTCGAAATAGCGCGGTTAAGTCAAATCAGCACTGCCAAGACATCTCCTCAGCCGGTATACTTGTCTGCAGCAGGTTGTGCTTGCATCGGCTGTAACCGCGCATGTGGGCCATGTGTCTCTATGCCAACAGTTGCCTCCACCCCGATCTCAGGCAAGACAAAATCATTGTCTTCGATGTTGCCACTTTCCCGCAAACTAGTCTTAGGATTTCGGAATTCTGAAGATATGGCTTCAAAAAAGCAGTTACCCATAAACCCTGAACTTGGAACAGTTCTTGTGAAGGTCATCAGGCGGGTCCGGAGTAAAAAAACTGCGCCCTCGACCGGACTTGGCATCTTCTGCGCAAAGTATCTCTCGCTGGCGGATCTGAATGTTTTTTGCGGGTGGTTCCTTGAAGCGTTTTATTCTGGTACCATAGGGGTTTCAGGGTTCCTTAAACCGCATGAAGCTCTTCAAGACTTCTGCAGTATACCGATGCCCAAATCCCCTTGACCTTTCGGCCCCGAGGCCCCCAAAATCGTGAAACTTAAACACTACTGACTTATTAAGGTTTAGGGGTTTTGGGTTGAGGGTATACCTTATACCATAATCTCCATTGTAGCCCCCCCTTTTGGTTACCAAGTTCATGTGCTTTTTGCTTCTCCTTGCGGGTGAGGGGGTGAGGGGTGTGGGCGGTTGATGATGTTCTGTGCTTCTTTTAGGCGGGAAGTAGTAGATTGAAAGTATAAGGAACACTGGCGAGCACACCGACAGTACCACACCTGTCACACGAAACAAGGTCTAACATAGGATTGAGAATCAACTGAATGAAGCAACAAGTCGTGTGACATTGCAAATCACATCATCACATGCCCTCCCTTTCATGTCATGACATATCATAGCATGTCATGTCAGATCATGTCATGTCATCTGCTATCATGTCAGATCATGTCATGTCACACGACGGCTTGCGTCAGTGGATTCTTAATCCTATGTTAAGCCCTTTTTCGTGTGGCAGAAGTGGTACTTTCGGATGTTCGTCGGTGCTAGATTCAGTCTACTTTCCGTAGAAGAGCCTCACCAGGCCGTCAGCGCGACTAGCATGTCCAAAACTCGAGTGCTAAGCGTTTTCAACTTAGTTCTCCAATACCCAACCTTTAAACCTTTTGGGCTCTTATAATTTACTAGCGACCTGAAAGTTTAACCTTCCATTTCCCTGGCTTATTGGGGAAGTAAGTCAAACCCGAAACGCAAAACACACACGCCTTCAACTAATCCAAGAGGAAGCCTCTTTCCTGTGGCAGGCGCGGTCGAATCGATGTAAACGTCCGTTTCGAAGGGTCTAACAATCCCCGCTCGAGGAAGTTTATGGTTAGGAATTACAATGGAGATGGAAGACAATGAGAGGAGCAGAAGGAAGCAACACAAGCAAAAGCACACCCGTTTCACCCCAGGCTCCCTTGCCCTGAGATTCCGAGAATCCTTAAACTATAAGGCCCTAAACTTTAAATCTCTAATCCCATGTGTAGTCACTCTTGATCAGAAACCTTCACTCAATAACTGAGCTTCACAACTACAAAGCAACGGCTTCGAGTTAATTCAACATGCAGAGACTCCAAATTCCTGTAACAACTAGGGAGTATGCCTCAAGTTAAGTTGAATCCTCCGATACGTGAATCCTCAAGCAAATTATTTGGATGTCTGAGAGCCCTACACCCTAAACCATAAACCCCTAAACCCTAAACCCTAAACCCTATTCGGGCACGTCCTTGCTAAGTAGGAGGCAAAAAAAAAACCTTAAGCCCAAGGCCTCGCAAGCCCGAGCCTTCAGAGAATCTCTTCGAGGAATGCTTACAGAACCCTTGCAGCGACGAAGTTAAGTTTAGGATTTAGGGTTTAGGGTTTAGGGTTTGGGGTTTAGGGTTTAGGTTTTAGGGTGTAGGGTTTAGGTTTTAGGGTTAAGAGTCTTATCTTAACTTAAGAGCCCTTGTGGCACCCTTGAAAGAACGCTTATAGAACCCTGCATCCGGGACCCTAAGCCCTAAACAAGCCTAGATTCCTAGACCCTGAGCCGAGAGATCTCGGCAAACCGCAAACCTGAAGCCCAAGCCCCTAAACCCTACCTCTGAAGTTTTACCGGCAGCGGAGGACTGCAAGGAGTCGTTGGTACGAATGCTTCCAGCAAGTCGACTCCGTCTCTCGCGCTTCACCGTGGGGGACAAGGCAGCGGGTGTATGGGGTTTCGGGCCTTGCGGCATCGGGTGGTCGGGATTCTGGGTTTAGGATGTGGGGTTATTTAGAGGGGCTTTTGATTCAACCTTTGAGGGCTTAAGGGCCTACAGCTTTTTTGTTGCTCATGTTGGTGGTGGCAGCATATGGCTTGGAGCTTAGTGTTAGTAGCAACGCAGCCTCGTATGTTTGGGAGGTGAAATGATAATTGGGTACTTCGACTTTTTGGGTAAGATTAGGGTTCATGTGTTGGTGCTTTCTGGCGAAGCGTTAGGGTTCCTGTAGTCCCCAATGCAGTTCCTTTCTTCAGTTAACCTGTTTCATGCTTCGGATCCTACACAACAGACACCAAGTTACCACAGAAGGGCTGTCGATACCGCATGCTAGATTGGAATGACAGTCTGCTGCTTCGAATTCGGCAAAGAGAGCGGTTCACCCTCCAGTGGCCTACAGCCTACATCAGCCCGGAGCCCACAAGTTCGCGTTACTGGGTTTTCTTGTGTCTTCGCCTTGTGAGTTGCGAGGCCGTAGGGCTTTGTGCCTTTACGTCCCTGCGGTGTGGCGTCTGAGATGCGGGTTTTGAAATATAGGCTATGGACTAGATCAGAGATTGCAGACCTACCTGCCTGCATGCCCTGGAATTGAGAGCCTGATAAGAAGCAACTGTGCATGTCAGCCCAACTCGACCCATCCGTTCCATAGGCACTGCATACCTTCTGTCCTGACTTCGTTCAATCTGCTCATGCCCTGTGCGTCTGCAGGTGGAATATTGGTCCATGAACGCGAAGCAACCTGGCTGCAGATGGGCAGTTCCCTAAATTAAGGTCCCCTTTAGGGTCCTTTTATAAGGGTGCCGTACTATATTGGGAACCTAACTGGGACCCCTAATTTCGAAAACTATCCAGATGTGTTTCTACTAGAGTAGGTCTCATGCTGCGTCGCACAGGGCCAGGAGTGTCGACGTTACTGGGAAGCCAGCTAGGCATCGTAACACAAGAGCGGTTCTGTATGGGTTACGATTCAAGCTGAGACATTCATTCTAGGGTTCAGAGCTTGGCAATATTTAACTGAATGGTGAAGGGTGCAGAGATCTCATGGGGCAAATCGAAGAGGACATAGACATAGACATGCAACCAAGGGATCGTGTCAGGTCTGCCCTGGCTACCCTACACAAACTCCGACACTCGTCTACTGTACTACAGCAAGGTGTGGGAAACCTTCCAGAGCCGTCCCAAAACCGTAAACCCCAAACCCTAAACTGCGAGTGCGCGAGTCGAAACCCTAAGCTGAATCAGTGGAAGGTCGTGGCTGGCCGCGAAGGCGCACCCAGGGTTTGGGATCCGAAGTTGAAGCTGGCGGTCTCTTCGTCTTTCAGAGCCCCGTAAAGGACAGCAGTCGATTTCCTTGTCCCAATACTCAGCACTAAGACCGAAACAACCGCCACACCATTTGGGTTGATTTTACTTTGTTCGGATGGCTTTGCGCTAGTGTCGCGCGACGGCTTCAAGACCTCCCAGCGGTCGGTGCTGGTTCCAGCTGAGAGAGCTTCCTGCCGGTCACATGCTCACTTTAACCAAAACATACTAAAACCCAACCGTTCAGTACCGTAGTTTGTGTTTGTGTTTGATCTAGTGGGTTTTTGCTGGTCCACTTTTGCTGTTTGATCCTCGGCCCGCATCAGTCATCAGACGTCGCAACTGTCCAGATTTATTGCAGGCACATGTTGGCTTGTAAAAGCACGGTGTCTACACCATCAGCATGGCACGCCGTAGGTTCTTGCTGCTGTGGTGTGGCCTTGCAGCAATACTGTCGGCTTCCGTGAAGCCCTGCAGGGGTTGGATCCCCCATCGGAGCTCATGCCAATCGAAAAGAGCAGGCTGCCTCGTCACACAGGAGTTGGTGGCAGCGCGGGGGGCACTGTCTGTGCAGAGGCAGGCAGTCCCAAGTAGAGAAAAACAGCCTGCAAGGTTTCAATGGGCAAGCGTGGCTGGACGGCACCGAGCCTTGAAGATACTGAAGGAGCATTATGGCGAGCAGTACGATGCAAGCAAAATGACTTGGGCTTGGTGGAGAGCTAGTATTAAGGATCAAAAGTCGAAAATGGATGTGACCTGCACGAAATGTGGTCATCGCTCAAGGAGCACGTCACTGGACAATCTGCAATGTGGTCACGCACCTGGATGTTTCTGCAATGGTGGCGTTCGCTGGTCGAGTAGGGATGGGCATGCCCGTTGTCTTTCGATACTGAAGCTCCGGTATGGCGAGCAGTATGATGCAAGCAACATGACTTGGGCTTGGTGGAGAGCTAGTATTAAGGGTCAAAAGTCGAAAATGGATGTGACCTGCGTGAAATGTGCCCATCGCTCAAGTAGAACGTCACTGGAGCGTTTGCAACGTGGTCAATCACCTGGTTGTTTCTGCAATGATGGCGTTCGCTGGTCGAGTAGGGATGGGCATGCTCGTTGTCTTTCGATACTGAAGCTCCGATATGGCAAGCAGTATGACGCAAGCAAAATGACTTGGGCTTGGTGGAGAGCTAGTATTAAGGATCAAAAGTCGAAAATGGATGTGACCTGCACGAAATGTGGTCATCGCTCAAGGAGCACGTCACTGGACAATCTGCAATGTGGTCACGCACCTGGATGTCTTTGCAGCAGGAAGACAGAAGCGAAGCTGAGACGTTGGCTGTGCGCGAAATACCCGGACTGGACGATTACGTCGCAGGCGACGGGGTGTACGAATCCAGACACTCAGCGGTCCCTACCGTTTGATTTCGGCTTGTACCACGACACCATTTTAATCGAGCTGGATGGTGACATTGGTCACTTCGGCCGTGGATGGGCTGGATCGCCGGACGATGGAGGAGTGCCGCAGAGAGACTATCAGAAGGAGTACTGGGCGATGCAACAGGGCAAAGTTGTAGTACGCTTGCTGCAGGAAGATGTGTACAGAGATTCCTGGCCCTGGGAGGACTTCTTGACAGCAGCGATCGAACATGCAACATGTTTGGCCCAGCCTTGTGTACTCACACAGGATGCCATGCACTATCAGGGTGGAATCTATCGCAAGCTGCGCGCAGATCTTGATTGCAAGAGAGGTCATTTCGTTCCGAGCTGCATTCCGTACCTGGGGTATGGACTTGTGAGAGCTCAGCCGGGACGAAGCCAGCCCGGGGCTCGAAGCCTGAGCCGCCTTGACGGGGAATCCGGAGCAAAAAGCACTCATCCCATGCCCGGGTCGAGCTTCATGGATCTGTCCTTCGCTGAGTCCTGTATGTAGGATCTAATTCAGCTTTTCCTCTGTGGAATGCATTTCTCGGGCTGCTAAGCTCGTGCTACTTCGTCGATTTGCTTTGTCCTTTGCTGCGATTGTAGCTGACATCCCCAAGACTGGCACCCATTAGACCCCATTCAACAAAAGATTCCTAACCCGCCCCCCTCGTGCCAGCGCCGAAACCCCAAAAAACCTAAACTTGAACCCTAAACCCCTTGAGTATCTCAACTAGAGCCATCTTCGAGCCGCAGGTCTTGAAGCTCTATTGGTCTAAGCAGACCTGCGACCTCGATATAAAGAAAGGACCGCGAAGCACATGGAGTCTGGTGGGGCAGGTCGGGAGAAAGAGAGAGAGAGAGAGAGAGACAGAGAGAGAGAAAGAGACGGAGACAAAGACAGAGACAGCGAGAGGCGGAGGGACAGAACGGAGGGAGAAACATAAGTAAACCAGAGGCTGAATTTCGGCGAAGCATTTTGTGCCGGATTGCTTCGCAACAAAGTAGCTTCGTGGTTGTTATCATCCCAGGCGGAAATCTGTTTTGCATGGACGATCATTGCACCTTGCGGTGTGAAGGCTTGGAGTAGGGCGTTTGACGGCAGCCTTCGTTGAAGGACTGAGCCTCGACCACTAAGCCCTTCGATCTACAGCTGAACTTAGTAGTAGAGTAGGTAGCCTTTGACCTGTCTTTTAGGGTACTATAATCCCCATATCATTCCTTGTCCCCCCAAAAAACCTAACCTTTGATTCCCCAGGTTTTTTGGACAAGTAGGAAGATCAAACAAGACTGGAGGATGACTTAGGTGGCACGTCTGGGCTTCAGATGCTTCGCCACTGCGGAGGAAGGAACCCTTAGAACCGTCCCCTCCGCAACCCTAAACCCTGGAAACCCTCAACCCAATCTGTGGCGTGACACCAGGAACTAACCCAAAGGATCCTAAGTACTTCTATATATATATATGTATACAGGAGAATGTAGGGTTTCTATAATAGGAACTTCTATCGCGATTAGCGAAGCTATCCTCCCATACAGGTACTTAAGGACCCCTTGGGTAAGTGAGCTCTCAGCCTCCAGGAGCCCCCTTGGCGAACGTTCGGAAGGCGCACCTTCAGTGACATAGGGAAGGTTGGGATGAGGGTTTGAGGTTTAAGAGTCTAAGGTTTAGATCGGAAATAAGCAGCAATGGTGTTATCCCCTAACAGGCCGTATGTATTTATACTGTATGCACCGACACACTCGTCCGTTTCATTTGTTAAACCACCCCTTTTCCAGGACGCCTGTAGTCCTCTGAAGAAGTGGTGCAGTCCGAACATAACCGAACCCTCAACTCCCACAAATGGCACCACCAATGTCTGGTACCCTAAGCCGCAAAACCCCAGATGCCGTCATACATTACAGAAGCCGATACTGTACGAGCGCTAATATTCGGTCTGAGGGCCCCGTGTGAGAACTACCACAGTATTCCCCGAACCTTTAATCTATGTCTGACGGCCGCAATACCGTAATTACCCATAGGCACCATAGTAGTTCCCTTTTGGGGTTCATATTTAGAATCCTATCAGGTAATCTCAAAAAGGAACTACTATGGGGCCTACGGGTAAGGCCCTAAATCGCATTGCGACCTTGGCTCAAAGTAGTGCTCCGCAGCGAGCGGAATGGAAAGCAGCTGACGCCCCGAGGACCGGGGATGCTGGGGGGTGTAAACCAACTCCGAGAGCTCACATTGTATGCTTAATATGAAATAGATCATAACACAATTAGTATATGCTCCATGGATGCATATATATATATGTATATATATATATATATATATATATGTATGTATGTATGTATGTATATATAGAGAGAGTATGTGCATACAATACACACATGCACACTGTCTGCTCAGCTACCTGCCCGCATGCGGGCAGGGATGCATGCCTGCAGGTATGTATGTAGGTATGTATGTCTGTATGCCTATGTACACTGTATGTGCTTATTATGTATATTTGCACATACGCTAAACCCTAAACCCGTAAACCCCTAAACTTAAACCCCTAAACCC